GTAATGACTTGTTTATTTATTTATTGCCTCAGCTCATTGGTCCCATGAGCTAAAAGCTCGCATTAAGGGACAATACAGATTTTGCATGTTAATACATAGGTACAAGGCGGTTGTAAAAGGACAATAAATATTTAAGCAGTACCATTGAGATAATTTTGAAGGTACCATGATTTTACATTCTTTTTAAATTGATTAAATGACATATTGGTGAATAGAGAAGGTAGTTCATTATACAATTTAATAGCAGCATTGAAAGAAGCATTAAGACCATGTTTGGTGGTGTGTACTGTGGATGTGTGAATTTTATTCGATGAGCGTGTTGAGTAGTTGTGAATTTGAGAGTTTTTGATGATGGGGATATCTGAGTTTATGAGATTGAGATTTAATTTGTGAATATATATGACCGAGGAGAATTTGACTTGTACTGAGACTGGCAGTATGTTGGCGCTTTTGTAGACTGTTTTAGTGTGTTCGAGATATGGCATATTAAAGATGAGCTTGAGGGCTCTTCTTTGTATCACCTCAAGTTCTTGTAATTTTTCTTTAGTACATTGCCCCCAGACTGAGATTAGATATGTGATGTTCGAGTGGATTAAGGCAAAATAGATGTTCTTGAGGATGGTAGGATTTAGGCCAGTGTGTCGCAGCCTGCTGAGGACACCAACTACTGGGAGAATCTTGGATTTGATGTGGTCGATTTGGCATCTCCAGCTTAGATTAGACTCGAGGTAGAGGCCTAGGAAGAGTGCTTCGGAGCATCTTTCAATGGAGATGTTGTTGCACTTCACTACATTAGTGGATGATACCTTATAATTACGGGTATGGAAAAATAGGTATTTCGTTTTTTCAAGATTTAAAATTAGCCTGTTGAGGTCCATCCACCTAGATATAGTAGTGAGGTCCTCATTTATTTTCTTCATTGGCTGAGCGATAGCGAAGCCTATTACTCCAGTGATGATCAAAAAGTTTCGCGTCTGTCTGTTTGTTTGTTTGTCTGTCTGTCTGTCTGTCTGTCTGTCTGTTCGCACGATAACTCGAGAACGGTTTGAGGTAGAATGCTCAAATTTTTTTTGTAACTTTGTATCATAAAAAGGAAGAACTGTATTGATTTTGAGCCCTCTGGCTCCAAAATTGACGTGTCAAAAAAATCAAAACCAAAAAGCCTAAAACATTTCTTTTAAAACAGTTTTTTTTTACATCTTTCTTAGAGGTATCTCGTCAAAGTAGAACCCTATGGGCCAAAATTTTGTCCGTTTGGCTCTATCTCGAACCGTTTGGGCGCCAGAGGGCGTTTTCCACACGAAAATGACCCCAAAACATTTTAATGTTTACTCTTAGATCTTTGATGATTCCCGGGGGGGTAACTAATCAAACTGAAACCCCAAGGAACAAAATTAGTGACTTTTAGGGCGAAGGCCTATTTACGACTGTGCCCTTTGCCCGATTAGGGTGTCAGCGCCGCAGGCCTAGGTAGATGTATGTCAGGCGCGTCGCAGCGTAACAGTGTTTCGTGAGATATCGCGAAGCCTGTTACGCGAGACGTGGTCTGGCGTACATCTACCTAGTTATATTTTGTTCAGTACTATCTTCATATATGAGTAGTATGTCATCAGCATACAACATCAATCTACCATGAAGCTTCAGATTAGATATATCATTTATGAATATAATGAAGAGAAGAGGTCCAAGTACTGATCCCTGAGGCACACCTACTCTAATTAGTTTTAGGGAGCTGGACTCTCCATTAGCAGAGACATACTGGTGTCTGTTTGACAGATATGAGCTGAGCCAGCCATAACTTGGTCCTCTTAGTCCAGCGTGATCTAATTTTCTTAGGAGGATGGAGTGGTCTACGGTGTCAAAGGCCTTGCGGAGATCTATTAGTAGCCCAGCAGCAAGTTTGCCTGTATCAAGGTGATCTTGAATTGTTTTGATTGCAGTGAGAGCAGCACACTCAGTTGATTTTTTGTTTGTGAATCCAAATTGTGATGTAGTAAAAAAGTTGTTGATAGTGAGAAAAGAAAGTATCCTTTTCTTCATGATCTTTTCAATTATTTTGGAAACAGTCCTGAGTATACTAATTGGTCTATAGTTGGAAGGGAGGGTTTTGTCTCCTGCTTTGTGTATAGGTGTGACACGGGCAATCTTGTAGTAGTTTGGAAATACACCCTTTGCAAAAGTGATGTTTATTAGATCAACCAGGATCGGCAAAATGGTTTGTGAGAGGTTCTTCAGGATGTTAGAGCTTAGTGGATCTTCAGTGTTGCCATTACTTGATTTTATGCTGCTCAGTGCCTTAGTCACCTCGGGTATGCTTGTGGGATAGAGGTAGATGCTTCTGGAGGAGGTGGGTATTGTAGTGTCTGCATCATATTTGGGGAGGTGTCTAGTCAGGTCTTCAATTGCTTCCACATAGTATTCATTAATCGCTTCACATATTTCTTGATTGTTTTCTGTTATGCCGTTTTTCGTTTTAATTTTCTCAATGTTTGTTGTTCTATTGGTTGCTGGTCTATTTAATGCTAGGTTTGCTGCTCTCCAGATATCTCTTGGTTGGTTGTTTGCTGTGATTTGATGATAGTATTGTGATTTTAGCTGTCTTTTTAGCTTGGTTACTCTATTAGATATCTTTTTATACTCAGTTAACACAACGGGGGAGGGGTTTTTAGCTTTGGTTTTGTTGTAGGCAATGTTTTTGGCATTGACCAGGTTTAAGAATTCTTGGTTGGACCATGGTTGTATGCATGTTTTTTTCTTGACGGAATTTCTTTCTACAGTGCAGCACTTGATGCCTTCAGTAATGTAGTCAATGAAATTTGTAAAATTCTCATCTACTGATTTTTCGTTGTCCACTTGATAGAGGTTCTTGTTCAGGTACTTGTTTAATTTTCTGTAGAGGATTGTTTTATACGTCCCACTGTTTTCATTTTTGTTCTTTTTATAGTTAGAGATGTTTGTTTGAAATATTAGGAAGCAGTGGTCACTGACCTCCCAATCCGTTGTATAGATTGAGGCATCTTGGAATTTTCCTCTCAGAATTATGTGGTCGATTAGGGTAGCATTATCTGTGCTATGCCTGGTTGGGTACTTCTTATTTGCAAGGATTAAGTCATATGACACCATTAGATCCTTAAGTGCTGCCGATTCTTTTGTATCTTTTAATATATTAATGTTTGTGTCACCCATTAGTATAACATTTTCTGATTTGATGTTAGCTAGAGCATTTTCAAGGTCATCAATGAAGCTGGGAGTATTATGTACATTTGGGTTATATGCACCAATAACAGTAATTGATTCTTTAAGTAGTTGTATCTCTATTTGCAGGATGCTGTGGAACTTGTTGACTACCAAGATTTCTGTTGACTTGAATTTTTCTGAGACATAAACAGCCACTCCTCCTCCAGCTTGTTCACTATTCACATGGAAGTGCTGATAGCCTTGTATGCCATAATATTTGTTGAGGTCAGCATTATTTAGCCAAGTTTCCGATATGATGACAAGATCCACATCTCCTACCTGCTGCAGTAGTAGTTGTATATTATCAAACTTGTCGCTGCTTGCCATACTTCTGGCGTTGAGGTAGAGACATTTGAAGCTTGAGTGTGGGTCAGATTTTTCTTTGTAATCCACAATGTTATCACAGATTTGTTCGTTGACTAGTAGTTGTTGGTAACTAGTGAGATGGTTGTTGTTCACTATCACAGAGGTATCGTTGGGTATCACAGAGGTATCACTGGGTATCACAGATGTATAATTTTGACTGGCGAGGTTCTTCAGCTTAGATTGCTCAGGAGGGTGTCCAGGGCTGCAGCGTTTTTTATGAGGATGGACTCCTTGTCCTCTTCAGTTTTCTTGATTCTAATTTTACAACCTCTGGTCCAGGTAGAATGTAGTATGCCATCCTTTTTTAAGTCTCTACATCTCTTGTAGAGGCTGTCCATCTTAGGAGTGAGGTGGTCGTTTAGATATATAATTGAATCTTCCCCAGGCCAACCGATTTCCTTGGCAGTTAGTTTTTTCTTGTGGTACCTTGCTTCGATGAGCATGTCTTTCATCCATCTGTTATTGAATTTAGCCACTATTTTTCTTGGCCCTTTGGCAGGGTTGCCCCCCAAACGATGGGCAGTATCTAAAGCTGTGCAGTCCATTTCTACTCCAAGGGCGTTTGCTATAGAGACAACAAGTTGGCAAGTTTGATCTTGTTTTTCCCTTTCGTGTTCAGGAACTCCTGTGAATATTATGTTATTGAGCCTTTGGTATTGTTTGTTATCCTCAAATTTATCGACCAGTTGGGTAACTTCTTCACTGCTATGGTTGTTATGCAGTGCATCGATGTCCGCTACTACAACTTCATATTGTTCTGATACGAGCTTGACCTTCTCTAGTAGTTCTTGTATATTTTTGTCTGTTTCTTGCTTGTACTTATCAAGCTTCTCATCAAGGTGCTTCTTTAACGTATCCAATTTATCATCTATCTTGTCTACAATAATCTTGGTTATGTTGTCCGCCATGTCGACCAGGTTAGGTTGGGCGTCGCAGTCGGCTCGGTCACACATCCACTTTTTGTTGGCTGAGCGATAGCGAAGCCTATTACTCCAGTGATGATCAAAAAGTTTCGCGTCTGT